TTTGATCACTGGGTCTTCATCGATTCCAAGCAAATCTCTCTCCGACTTTTAGCCCTTTTGCATCTCCATTTTTTTCCTCCCATGCTCCCATTCCCACTGCATCCTACATCCCTGTCTGTAGCCCATATTTTGACTTCCATTTTGCCTTCCCCTGTGTTGAGCATCCTTTCTCTTCTGATGCACCAAACATCTTCACTCTCCTCCTTGCAAACAATGTCTTCCTGGGTTGATCTCTTCAGGCACAGTGCCTCAGCTAAAATTGGTCAGGAAAACTTCATTAGGACAGTTTTCTATTTAATTTTGATGTCTTGGGGAAAAATGCTCCCTGAAGTCAAAGGGAATGTCATCTAACTAAGAGCGGAATAAAGACCGCAGGAATTTTGTTTCAGTAAATTTAAGTAGAGATGATGCTTGACTGCAAAAAAGAATGAGCTTCCTTTTGGGGAGTAAATTAGCTATTTAGTTTTCTGGCAAGAAGAAGCAACGTTACCTAAATGCATTGGATTTAACTTTAAGCTTTCTGTTGGCTCGTTTTTTTTTTTTTAATTATGTCTATCTTAATTAAATCTATGAATTAATCTATTGTTATCTTTATCCCATGCTCTGAATGCTTGTCTGTTTCTGGGCTACAGCGTGCTAAGACATAAGAGAATGACATCCCCTCTCAAGGGAATTTTGTGGCATCGAGTGCTTGGAAATGAGGAGCTCATCTCCCCTCCAAGTCTTCATTTAAGGTTTCTTTAGGCTTGTGCACCTGTTGCTACTCTGATTTTAAAAGGTTCAAACTTTGTGGTGTTCCCATGCTATGCGATAATTGAAACAAGCCACAGAAAAGGCAGCGTGAAGGTAATTAGCTGGGGAGTGTGTGTTATGAGATCTGCTCAATGCCAGATCTGTAGAAGATAGGAGCTGCTGCAGTCCACACCCGTCACGGCGCCTTGACTTCGGACCTCAGGTAACAGCAGCTCATGCTTTTAGCTCTGGAGTTTGCAGGATTGATTCCCCATGGATCAGCCAAGAGGCAACCACCGCCCCAACATAGAGCACTAACATGTAAGACCAGAGACGCAGTAGGGAGCACTAGGAGGTATTCAAGCCCTGTGGTCAGCCTCATAGACAATGGTCTCAGACCACCAATTATCTATCCTGATGCCTGCCCAAGGATCCCAAGTCTTGATACCTTTTTGCACACTTTGAGCTCCTACTCCTGCACAAGATAGCACTAATGAATTTTTGTCCTGGCCAAAGAGTTGGCATTTAACGGGTCCCAGGGCAAGGATACATCATGTCTGGTCTCGGCATGTCTCTTTACTCCAGATGTTAAAAACTTTCCATTTCCAAAGAATCAGGCCTCTATTAGCCGCTGTTCTATTATACCTATATCCTCTCCTAAAATACTTTCTTTCGGTTTTGCTGTAGTACCGGTTTGATTGATGTCCCTGACTCTTCGGGGAGAGAGTTAACTGCTTCTTGTAAAACTTTCTGTCCTGTTTTTTCCCTTCAGTACCATTGCCGCCTCCTGTTTCCTTGAGAGCATCTGAGGTGAACCACAACAGTATAAAACTAAGCTGGCAGCCGGCAGATGGAGCTACTCAGTACCTGGTGCTCTGTTCA